CTTTTGGTCAGGAACTTTGTCAAATGCCTTTTGGAAATTGTAGACTATGTCAACTGGATCATGTTTACACACATGCTTGTCGACCTTCTCCTTTGAAGAAGTCCAGAGATTTCTGAGAAGTGGGATTTCCTTCACAAAAGCAATCCTGAATCCTCCCACATATATCACATTTATACACCCATTCCAAGACGCTGCTGCTATCGCCGTTTCTAGTAATTGGCTTGGTGTACACGTCAGGCGGGCAGGCCTGGCTGCCCAGCTTTCCCTGGGACCCGTTTTACAAATAGTCCTTGTATTGGCCACTCAGTCACCAAACAGGCACAAAGCAAAAGGCTACCCACTGCTATCACTAATCTGGCTGTTTTGCCTTCCAGTTCCTCTACAGTTTTTGGGTAAACGTTACTCAATTCTGGCAGTGGGCTAGCAGTAATCTTAACATTTACTTCAATTTCAGAGAGATTCTCTGATGATCCCCTATTCAAAGCACGACTTTGGTGTGGGAATGTCCCCGGTTTCTTCCACTATGAAAGCTAGATGCCAAAAATATATTTTTAGGTATTTAGTAATAGCCTTATCCTGGCTGAGCGTTCCTGGCATGTCTTGGTCACCTGTTGGCCTTCTGATGGGAAGAAAGATTTACCGTTGGTTTTGATTCCTTTGTGAAGTGCCCCTTAAACTCTTTTTTAGCCTCAGTTTTGCACTTTCACATTTAATCTGCCGGAGTTTACGATCCTTTCTGTTTTCTTCATTTGCATACAGACATCAGGTTTTCAAAGGACACCGTCTTGCTTTTGGTAACCTCTCTGACTCTGCTGCACAGCCTCACAACCTTCCTTTTGCACCCTGCAGCTCTGCCATCCCATCTTTCTTACCAAGGACGGGGCAGATGGGACCCTGCTCTCCATCACTCCAGCATTACTCCAGCATGCAGTGCACAGGTAGCCTCACGCCTGTCATGCAGAAGCGCAAAAGAATTGCCCCAGAGTTTCAAAGCAAAACCTTTCCGATTTAAGGTGGACCTAAATGAGCAGAAAAAATACATGCTGCGATGCTCCCGATAATCTACATAATTTAGGTAAGATTTAAATTTTGGGATGGTAGAGGACTCATAATTCTCTACAGAAAATAAAATTATCTTATGAGAACTGGCTTCATAGAATGTGTAAAACAGGAAAGGTGTCAATGAAAAGATACTTACGATTACAGTTCTAACTGCTTACCAGAAAGGGGGGTGCAGAAATGTGCTGTTCACGTCCTTCAAAGTGATGGTAGTGTGTACACATTAGCTATAAGCAAAAGTACAGCTAGAAGAGGAAGACCAAATCTAAATTTCTAACATTCAAATACCAGAATAAATTGCAAACTCCCAAACGTGGTGGGCATCACTGGCATGTCCCACACAGCACTGTCTTTGGTGGGGCTGCAACAAACGCCCCGATTCGGCAGAGGCAGGAGGGACGGACGAGTCCCACCGCGCTCCCCCCGCCTGGAAAGGGCACCCCGAAAGCACGGGAAAGGGAGTCTCTCCTGTCTGACGGCTAAGATACAGGGTCGAGCCTCTCACTGAAACTCAGTTATTCCATGATTTTGCGGCATGGGGATCGGATGTAATGACAGAGATTACGGAACACAAGATTTACCAGGTAGAAGAGTTATTCAGACGTACTTCTGCCTTCAGTGAAAGGAAGGAGAAGGCCTTCTCAGGATCGCTCTCATTCTTTGGCCAAACAGAAGAAATAAAGGTAGGGAACAGACATTTGGAAAGAGATTAAAATATTTCTGAATTTCAAAACCCCCAATGTTTAGGGGAATCGAACAGCTGTATTTGGAAGACAAACATTTAAGCCATATCTTTAGACAGACAACGAAGTAGGAACGTATGCTGATGTCATCACAGCTTGCTTTTTATACTCACCTTTTTGTGTTTAATTTGAGAAAAAAAAATAGCATAAAAGGTTAATTGCTATGTGCAGGACTGAATTTCCGGGACATGTAAACCCATAATAATATCATAGAAGGTTAAAAAAAAAAAAAAGAAAATATGTTTAATCACCCTTTACTTTTCATCTGTGTTTTATTTTGGCAGATCATTTCAAACTACCTTCTACCTTTCTCTTCAGTCTTTGCAGCATAAATGCTGCTGCTACTGAAAAGCCACAGGGAAATTAAAGAAAGGACATAGAAAGTCTTCTACCTGCGCTTATGAAATAGGAAGACAAATCTTCATGTTACAGTCATACCTGAACATCCTACTAAACTGAATTAAGTGTCCTACTGCAAAGCTACGACCTTCATCTAGTTTACATTTTTAAAATTCAGTTCAGCACTATCTACGTATCCATACAAGAAGCACACACATTTAAAGACTATCTGGGAAGGGCTTCTTAGACACACACTGAAGCACGTGAATACAAGATGTTTCCAAGTGTAATTTTCTAGTATCATTTAATCTCATAAAGTGATAACATCACTGCAGTATACTTCTGCCTGGTTGTAATCCCACAGATCTTTAATGTTAAATATAGTTACTAATGTTGAAAATTCCTCTTGTTTTGCCAGTCTCTCTTACTCTTCTACCACAATTCTGACTGCTACAGCATTCAACACTTTCTTAAGAATATCGGAGAATGCTTTTGTATAAGAGTACCCTTCAGACGTGAAACGTTCTTGCCAAAATAGTTCATTTTGCACTGAAACTTGACATGACATTATTCATCCAGGAAGCAAAAATTTTTTAAAACCAGTGGCGTCTAGCTTTGAGGTACACCGTACTTAAAAAGTAAAAGAAAAGTTGCTGGTTTGTGAATATATATACATATATATATATATATATATATGCATTTTGAAATACTGATAAAAGCTTTTACTTAGGCTGCATGATGTTTGTAATAATTTTTAGTGCTCCCCTTCAAAATCTTTTGATTTCTTCCAGAGCATGCAATGGTGGTGCAGGACATTAAATTCCTCACATCCAGGATTCCTGGCAATTAGTGTAGAACTGACCTAACCTACCGTGTGGTATCATAAAACCACAGACTGGTTTGGGGTTGGAGGGCCCTCAAAGCCCCCCCAGTGCCCCCCCCTGCCCCGGGCAGGGCCCCCTTCCCCCAGCCCAGGGGGCTCCCAGCCCCGTCCAACCTGGCCTTGAACCCTTCCAGGGAGGGGGCACCCACAGCTGCTCTGGGCACCCTGGGCCAGCGCCTCACCCCCCGCACACAGGGAATAATTTCTGCCTCAGATCTCACCGAAATCTGCCCTCTCTCAGCTTAAAACTGTTGCCCCTTGTTCTGTCACTACCTGCCCTGGTACAAAGCCTCTCTCCGTCTTTCTTACATCTACTAACTTTCACGAGCTGTCATAACAGCTTTGGGCAGACTGTCAAGAGCAAAACAGTTTCTACTTGTCTTAAAATGCATTCAGAAGGACCGAAGAAATATTTTTCAGAACGGATATCATGCACTGAAGAGTGTGTTTCCATCATGATGTTGTTTAAATGATAAGAGTTTCGAGCAAAAGCCTCAGCCGGGTGAAGCCCTCTGGCCTTGCCTCACACCCAGTGGTCAGTGCACAAAATGCATCTGGAGGCTCGTTAGCGTACGTCAGTATCCATACAGTACTTGGACGTCTTCGATACCTCCGTACCCGGTTTTGTGCCGAGGTTACTCATCCACTATCCAAGACAACTCTGACTGCTCATTAAAACCTAACAGCAGACTGCGTGTGCTGCACGGGCCCCCGTCTCCCCGCGAGGCAAACGTCGCCCCCTCCCTGGTCGGGCTGCTCAGCCCGAAGCGCGCAGCCGGGCGCCGGGCGGGGATGCACCGAGCTCCGGTCGCTCGGCGAGAGGGACGGCTGCTGCCAGCCTGCGCCCGCCCGAACCGCTCGTGCCAGGCACGCGGGCGCAAGCCTGCTCCCACCGCCCAGACGCTGCTTTGTGAGGGGCCGTACGGGCACTGCGACCCGCACTAAGCACCTCCTTCCCTCCGGAGCTCAGAGGCAGCGTAACGTAACACGAAGGAGGGATTACAGCGACCGGCAGCAGGGCCAGGGCGTCCAGCCAGGCTGCATGAGCTGGGCTCGGTGGAAGAAGCTGGGTCTGGAACGACAGCAGTGAGGACAGAAAACACTAGTGTGGCCCTCACGGGATGAAGACAGAACATCGGTGGGGTCCAGGCATTAAGTATTTCTATCCACGTTTTTCTCTTAGCGGTAGAGCACACAATTTTGCAACTGTTCCACGACTTTACAGATTCTCCTACACTATATATGGGATGGGCCTGTCCACAGGGATACAGAAGTAGAGAGGCAATTAATTTCATCATTATCTTTTTTCTTGCACGTTCAAAAACAGTAAAGGAATTTACTGAAAAGCAGGCAGAAACGAAGCTAAAGCACATGAATATGGTTGTAGACCTGCTGCCTTCTAAGCTAACGTCAGATAAAGTTTTTATTCACCTACACTTGCATAAGAAATAAAGTGTACCATTTCCATTTTGTTTGTAAGTTCTGTTTGCAATGTAGAATACAGCATGGTTATAAATGCCTCCCAAGCCAATTTAGACATTAGTTTAAACTTCTAATAATATTTTCCTTGAGGAATACGTGATCATAATTAAAAATCCACAGATCTGGAACTCTTGGACAATCACAGTTATTCTTTACATCTTGCTGGCGTGCTTGCAGCATATCACGTCTCTTAATTTCACACTCCCTACACCACCCATTCAACGGGAGTGAGGACACTGTTCTGCACCCTAACTAAACTGAACAAAACTAAAGACTGAGTGTTTACAACTCTCCGGCTTCTTTTCTTTGAACCATGTTTCACGAAAGCTGTGATACTGTCAGGTAATGACTAGCAACAATATTTTCATGTGCTTACACAAATATGTACTATACAAAATTAAAGAAAATATGAAAAGAGTGTGGTTGTTTTAAAATCAACTTCGAGAGATACAAAACCGACAATGACCGAGCTCTTTGCCAGGGACTATACTCACATCAGCGTAATGCCCCTTCATACCACAGCGATTGCACTGTTTATTCCAATAGGCTCTCTCAAGACATTCCCTGAAATAGTGGCCAGGCAAACAGCAGTTCAAACAAAAACGTGCCGGGCAACTGTTTTGTAGATGACCTCTTTCTGCACACAGGCAACAAGGAGGAACTTTCTATGGAGAAACAAAAAAAAAGAATTACGTTCAGTGAGAATGTTTGAAAAGATTAAGGAAAAAAAAAAAAAAAAAAAAATCGAAAGAGGAAATGAAGAAGAAACCACCCCAAATAAATGTGTACTGTTTACTAGGAGCTGCAGAGTTGTTTCATCAAGGAACTGAAGTGAAGGAAAACCATGAAGGGAGTAAAACTTGAAGTTGTAACTCTGTAGACTCCCTGTACTTTCTTGATTTGGACCTTGCATCAGAAGCACTTGCTAACTGCCCAGCGCCCATGTGATTTGCTCCGTGAACACAGCGAAATCACCAAACTGGAAAGTATGTTTCACCCAGAGCAGAAGCGCTGGGCGCTCTGTATGAACACTTATTTCTTAATTAAAGTTCTCAAAAGCTGCAAACCAGGGCTGTGCCGCAGGGACATGAGACACCGTTTGCACCACCACGTCCCCGACCGGCTTGTGAACAGGGTCGGTCCGCAGACCCCTGCCCGCGGGCCCCTGGGTGTCCCGGGGGGCTCAGCGCCGCGCCCGGCCCCGCGCCCCAGGGGCGATCTCCAGCGCCCGCGCTCAGGCACCGGGGGGGCACTGCTCCGCTCTGATGAGCGGTCACTTCTGCAACACTGAGGTTCTTTTCCTCACTTACCACACTGCCTTTTTCTCGACCTGTGAGTTTTTTCTTGCTTTCTCCCCTTCCCCGGGAAGGGGCGCGTAAGCCAGCGGCTGGCGGGGGCTTTGCTGGCGGCCGGGTCAGCCCTCCACGGCCCCGTGCCTCCCTGCCTCGGGACTCGCACGGGTCAGCACACGGAGCAACAGTCATAAAATTCCGAGGCCAGGCCTGTATCCCTTTAAAGCAAGTTTCTCCCCCGTGAACGAGTGTCTCTCCGCGCTGGGGGCTGACGTTTCAGCTGGGTGGGAGGTAGGCACCCAGAGTCTCAGCGTGGGTAACAGCCTCGGGGACTGTCGTGGGGACTGGTAAATCCAGACCCTCAGGCAACTGCCCCCGCTTCTTCACAGCACAGCGACTGATTTTCAAACCTCTAACCCCTGGACAAACTTTCTGAATACTTGCCATCTATCTGAGCTGCTTAAAGTTGTTTCCAATTTCATCTCGTATACAATTCTGAACATCGTTCGTATCATGGTTCATTATTAGATATTTACTTTCATTCACTTACTAAGAGTGATTTTTGGGTCCCGTAGGTTCTCCTTGTTGAAAATACATTTGAAAAATATTTTGCATCTTGAAACTCGTGATATGAAAACAAAACAAAAAAAAAATGTTTCTACGTGATACTTGACTCTCTTTCTGCTCAGTTTATACTTACAGGCTTTTTTCTTTCGTAAAAACAATAATTGCCACCAAAGAGACAGCTAACTTTATACTGTAACTGTGTACTGATGCTGTGCAAGCTATCCTTCAACTCGGAGCAACCTTGTAATGAAATAATAAACCACTGAGGCAATGCTCCTAACGGCAAGCGCAAAAGAGTATTAAACAAGCCGACTGCATCTACAAGTAATTTAAGTGTTGCATCTACCTTTGGAGTGGGACAGTTCTTGGACAAATGACCTCGTCTGCTGCAGTTTCTGCAGGTAACGTTCTTGTCAGCTGTGTAGTACCGCATACTGGTATGCCTCACGCTTGCATAGTTGGAGATCTGTGCCTGGTGAGACAAGGTGAGAGAAATCATCTGAGGTTTGGTGGTTTAGCGTTCGTTGGAACTGGAAATTTGTAAAGGTAGTTCAGTTAGAAATCTAACTTTTTACACGTACAATTTACACATTCAGCTTTGAACTGGGTAATTCTGTTGTAGAGAAACCTGCATTGTCTAGAAGAAACGTATTGTCTTGTTCAAACTTCCGCTTGGGGACATTCTTTTTTTGCTGCTTAAAATTGCAGTTACTAAGTTTTGCTCTCCCTTGATTAGTCAAGACACTTTTACTCACTGCGTTATTATTTCATGACAAACTGGATTTTTTCCCAGAATACAAATACAATTAACATTAATTGCAAATGCGTGTTACACTTTCCCTTGCACACACTAAGGGAAACTTCTTGGGCAAAGTACAATGCTACACAAGTCTAGACCAAATCTGCAATTTGCAATTGTAAAGAAAGATTTAAAAAAGAAAAAGAAGAAAAAAAAGAGAAGCTGGAAAGAACTCTCTCTCTCTCCCAGTGACCTCACACATACTTTCCGTGTAGGGAGACATAACTGAAAATCCCATTTTCAACCTTTATTCCCTAGTAAACATCACCATTTTTAAAAACCGAAGTAAAATTTTGGACAAGTGAATGCGAGAGGTACAAAAATACCATTTCTGTTAAGGGAAAAAATTTATTAGCGTCAGCTGATGACGTAAGCTTCGCTGAACCTCGGCGAGGGAAGTCGAAGGGGTCGGACCGCGCGGCTGAAGCTCCCGGATCGCGCGGCACCTCGCCCGGGCAGGCCGGGCTGCAGCCCACCTCGTGGGGACGGGAGGGGAGGGGAGGGGGCTGCCGCAGAACCCTTACGAGTCGCCGAAGGGACCGGGGAGGAAGGAGCCCACCTCCTCCTCGGGCAGGCCGGCGTCCCCTTCCCGCTCTGCCCCCCCCCACAGCTGAGCCCCCTCCTCCCCCCGAGAGCCTGGGCTCCGGCTGCCTTCGGGGGGGCACTGCTGAGGATTCCACCCAAAAACTGCAGGTGGATTTTTCAACCCCATTCATCTTTTATCTTGCTCTGCTTGTCAGTAAACAGAAAAATAAAGAACGATGGCACAATTCGGCTGTCTGCGTTACCTCTAAGTCTTTAGTACAGATGGACCAGTCCACACCAACTTCGCCTGAAAAACAGAAACAAAACCAATTATATTTAATTTATATGACTATTTTTCTATAATATATTCAACATCATGATTACTGCACTTATTGAAGCTGGTAATAGACTCTGAATGCACCAAAGTGGAGAAACTAACTCTGTCTTCAGCAAAGGAGAGCTGTCAACCCACTTGGCGCCAAATCTGATTCACCTTAAAATCGGAACGTGTCCACCTATTGGATGGACTTTATTTGGCACCGCCCCCTTGTCCTGCCACCCAGGGTACAAATTCAGGCAATGATTTAATTTCTTCAGAGGCAGAGACTCCAAAGGTTCTGATTCCAGCCGTCTGAATTACCTCTGCCCGCACTCACGGGGATGCCCAGCCCAAGTCCAGGGTGGCCAGAGCGGGAGCACATGGAACAAGAAGTTAACACACAGCATAAAATATACTTTTCCTCCTTGCAAATTTGCGAGATCTCTGCCTTCAGTGCTGCTGTCTGACTGCTGCATGCCAAAATGACTTTATGCATAACCACAGCAACTAAGACTGTAAGCTAAGTAACTCTATTTCAAAACAGGGTTTGGTAATGTGCAATAAATCAGGACGACACACTAAATTATCAACTGTCACACCATAACCTTCTCACACACAGCCTTTGGGCTGGCAGAAGTAAAAAGAAAAAAAAAATAAAAAGGAAATAAAAGGCAATAAGCTAAAAGAATAGGGATGCAGTTACAGCTGTTTAAAAATTCTGCATGTCAACACTGTTTACTTCTCTCACTGCGCAAAGGCAGCTGTACCACCACAGCATCTTTTTCATCATTAAGGGAGGACTCACATCAACAGCGGTGTTCACCTCACCTATGCTTTTACAGCTACCACTACAACTTGGGCCCAAATTAATCCCGTGTGTTTGCAGACTTTTTAATGCAAATTGTCCCATCCTGTTCCCACAACCCAAGCCTGAAACATCTACATGCGCTATTAACACAAATCACAACAACATCAAGATTTACAAACAGTAAAAAAAACAGTCAAAATTTATGCCGCTGGTTTTGACTGCCCTCATCATTTCCAATAAAAGGCGGATGACTAGTAATTAAAACTAACCCCTTCATCTACTGAAAAAGTCAGTCATTTCATCTGAAGTGTGTAATGCAGGAGGTGGATACACTCAAACATACTACGGGTGCTTCAGAGCATAACACCTACTCGCTGCTGCTCTTCATCCAAAAGTCGGGGCTAGCGCTACCTGCCCTAGCCTGAACGGCACCCTGAAATATTCTTATTTTCAGCACTCACCGATGCCAACAATGCCACCAACCATCCCAGAGACGCCGGTAAGTCACTAGCTGGCCTGACTGCAAGGCAGCGTGGTCACGGCGCGCGCTGCAGCTGCCACAGCAAGGGCTGCAGCCCGGCGTCCAGCCTCGCCCCGGGCTGAAGCCACCACGCCAAGGCGAGCGGGTACCACGGGCACGGCCCCGGCCCCGGGTGCCAGCCGAGGGGGCGGAGGGGACAGCACCCGGCCGTGGGCACACCCACGGGAAAATTAGGCCTTTTGGTGCCTGGTCGCTAAAAGCAAAGAGGCGCGCCGACGTATTTGAGCGCATTACTTATCACCTGGAAGCCTGCTGAGGGAAATTCATTCGTAAAGAAAGAGGTAACTCGTAATTCAAAGCTCTGCCCTGGCCGTCAGGACCGTGAGCGCTGTGTTTCGCAGGAACGCGCATGCAGAACGGCTGGCAGGTTACAGACCAAAACTACCAGCGAATTGACTCCTGTTAATCGTTAGGCACGTACCTTCCTGAGGACAAACCAACCAAGTTTCTCTTCTTCCCTGTCAAAATCCCCGCAGCTTCGCAGGGGAAAACCATGATAAAGTGATTTAAATATTCCTAGTGCTAGAAAGTAAAACTGCTCAAATCAGAGAATAAGTGTGAGAGCTTTAATGGTGAGTGAAGTATTACAACAAAATGTCTCTTCACTGAATTCGGTGGCGACCTAAAAGTCAAGTCTAATTCACAACGGATCGCAAAAGGCTTTTTTTCCTACTCACAATAAATTCTTCAGGCTGAAAAATGCGGTAAGAGTTATGCTTCTGCGACCAGCCTGAAATCTTGCTTTAGAGACACACCGAGAAACCTGCATTGATTTTTCCCGTTGACCACAGCACTTTGCCTGGCACTAAACCACGAAATAAATCGCGGAACCCTGCGCAAGGTGACAATCGCCTCCCCGCCGCCCCCCGAACCCAGTTCGCTTTTCTGCATGAACTGACTCGTCCGACGGGCGCTGCCGGTCTCGGGGCGGCTGCGGGTCCCGGAGCTGCCCCCCGGCCCCCCCGCCGCGCCCCCCATCGCCCTCCCTCCCGCTCCCGATCCCCGCGGAGCCGCGCGGGCGGCGGGTCCGGGTCCGGGTCCGGGTCCGGGTCCGGGTCCGGGAGCAGCTCGCCCCGCAGCCGGCGCCCCCAGCGATGCTCTCCCACCCGCATCCCCCCCAGCCTGCGGCCTCGGGACCCGCCCCGGACCGAGAGGGCGGTTGTGGTCCGAGCACGGACGTGAAACACGGCGGCTGACGCCCGACCGTGCCCGGCAAAAGGCTGGTACGAGGACACCCACCACCTGACGTTCCCCAAGGCCAAACCAGCGCAGCGTTAAAGCACTTCACCCTTTCTTCCAGCCTGACCCGCGCACGGAGGGTGGGTCCTGCCCCAAGGAACGGGGCCCCGAGTGCTTTATTTTTGCGCTGAAGAAAGCAGCAGTTTAAAGACTACGCAGATAATCTCTGCCGAGACTTTCCTCTTTTCTGTGTGAGGAAGTTGCACGCACACAAAACTTGGATTACTTAAAGGGTCCTGTGAGTTTTCACGGTGTATTCATAAAATCCTCTCAGAACACCTTCAACAAATTTGTGCTTTTGTTCTCATCTTCATTTGTTACAAGCAACCTCCTTTTTAGGATTATATTAATTTCTATAATTCAGCTGAAAAAAATACAACTGACTGTCATACAAACTTCTTGTATTCATACCCTGAAAAAATGGTTTTGTCAAATTGCAGAACAGAAAAGAAGAGAAAGAAGAGGATGCAAAATCTATAGATGAGTATAGAAAAGTATAGAAAATATTCTGATGAAAATGCAAGCTCTGTGCAAGGTTCTTTCTTTATAAAACATTACACTTTGGCTGTCCTGTGCCCCTAGACAACAGGATGAATGGTAAGCAACAGCTTTGCCTTTATTTAAAGAAAAATTTTGAAAGATCATTGAGATTCACACGTATCCCTCCTCCAGCATGAAAATGTAAATTTCTGAGCAGCGCTCATGGTGAAGCCAGATTTAGGACCACTGTTCAATGTGCATTCAAGCCTTCCCTCTTTCATTCCAGAAAGGGAGAGGAGGGGAGGAGGGAGAACGAGGACCAGCAGTCAAAACCTAAAATTGCCCGGAGGAACAATCCGTTTCCACAGAACAAAAAACTGACTTAGAATAAACAATAAACTGCTCAGAAGGTTTCCTTATCTGCCGTACCACCGGTGATCCCAGCGGCCGAGCAAGGCTACCCCAGCAAGGCAAGGCACAGTTGGGCACAGATTTTGACCCCACCAAAAGTCACACTTTTGTTTTGGTCATCGGAGCTGGGAGAAAACACGTCCCTGTTCTCCCTGCAAGTTCAGCCTGCCCTGCAGCGGTTTATTTCATTACTGCATTTAGCAACACAGGGAAACTGTGGAGCATGCACGTTCAACTTTGAAAATAAACCACTACATTTTCTAAAAGGGGAAGGCAAGTGGTGTCCCCCCCACTTCCTTCTAATCAAAAAATACATGCAGACATGCATGTTATTTAGTTTATTTTATGATCAGTTCAGTGAAACAGTCTGCTCCAAGCTGTGACAGTATGATATGTGGCCTGAAGGGCAAATATGTTTCGAAGCTGGGCTTTAAAAATTGGATTTTGACTGCTAATTAATATAGCACATTACAGAATAGAGAACCCTAATTACATTCTACTGTAAGACCTCTGTGGCAGGGACTGTTTCAGACATATCTCTGAACAATATTTAGCATGTCAGGACACAGCTTCTGCTGCTACCGGAGTAATGAATAGCGTTTTAAAATGATAAGCCTTAAACCTCTAAAAATTATCTACATCTGTAAGAATTTCACATTGTGACATTTTACATATATGTGAAAATTCCTGTTTATGCCTGAACCAAAGTGATTCAAATATTGTCGTAATATGATTTGCTATAATGAGTTTCACATTTTTTGTGCTCAAGTAGCCCTTCTTCCGAAACCACAAGGAATGGAGCTACGAAGTGGAGACGACCAGGCAGTGCCCCAAACCAGAAATCGAGATTGCCTCCCTGCATCTGATTTTGCAAAGCCGAGGGGTGCGGGTTTCTATGCCCTAGGGTGCACCGTACACCCTTCTCTTCTAGGAAGATGGATTCCAAGGACCCATGTACGTATGTGCGTGTGTGTACACACACACACACACACACGTGCATGTGCCACCAGAAGTTTTTGAAGTAAACGACGTCTGGTCTACAGCCACCACAGGCTGTGAGCTGGGCAGGGAGCTCGTGCTCCTCATGCTGCCCACGCTGCGTCCCTCGGGGCATCGCTCGGGTCCGCGGGGCTCCAAAACGTCGTCGTTTTGGGGGGAGGCAGGGAGGGAACCGCAGCTCCCCACGGCTCCTGGTGCAGCCAGCGGGCCCCCGAGCGCTGCCCCGAGGGGCCAGACACGGACCGCGCCGCCGATTTCTGGTTCCTCCCAGCTCCAGCCCCATCCCGAACTCCCCGCGGGGCAGCGGGGCTGGGAGGTGCCCAGCAGCCGCGGCGGATGAAGCCCTCCCTGCATCACACAGCGACTCGAAGTAACTCCCGGGCCGAAGGGATGGAACCGAGTGCGGTGTTTTCTGTAGGCACTTCTAGGGATTCCTCAGCTTCGCTTTGATGAGGAAAAGGTGATTTACTTAAAAGCAGGACACCTGCTGTTATGATGGATTACACGTCA